GAATCCGATGATTTTACTCAACAAACCTCTGGAAAACTTGAGTTTGGTCAGGATTCGCAACAATCTTATCAACCTTGGAAACCGCAGGGTGCCGATCAACAATTAGGAGATTTTACACAGAAAACAGGAGAGTACGATGATCTCACTCAACAGACATCTGGAAATCTTGAGTTTGGTCAGGAATCAGAGCAATCCTTTCCAACCTGGCATCCTAATGTGAGGGATCAGAAGTGGGGTCATTTAACTCAACAAACTAGTGCACAACCAGAAGATGATTTGCCGAAGCCTGCAGAAAAACCTAAACCAAGATCGAGATACTCAAGGCGTTGGTCAACAGTTAATACACAGGTACCAAATCAAGATATGTATAATATTAATAATCAGAATAATTTGAACCTTAATGCTGGAGATACAGATGCGCCAAATATTTATGAATTACCTCCACAAGTGAATGTAGAAGGTGATAAAGATAATATTAGGAGACAAAGTACCAGAGGGGATCAAGGACAAGATAAAGATGTTTCTAAGAAGTTAAGTCAACAAGCTGGAAGTAGTGGGTATGATGTTGAAGGAGGAAATGTAGACCAAGTAAATTGGTTACACAAATCGAATGATGCAACTGTAGGCTTGCAATGGCATTATACATATCATCCAAGCGATCAAAGACAATTCGTACAACAAACAGATCAGAAGAATAAGGAAGATTTGCAGCAGCAATCAATACAAACACAATTTTCTAATTTACAACAAAATCCAAAGCAAGAAGAACAAATTAAATATATAGTTGATAATTCAGATCAGCAGGAATCATATTGGCAACCTCAAAACTATGCAACTGAACAAGGAATTAAATCTGTGAGAAAACCATTTCGTTATATTCAGCATGAAAATAAATTGATGTCTGATCAACAAAAAAGAGAAAATGAAAATTTACAGAAGCATGTAGAAACTGCTTCATCTGAACCTAAGCTGCAGCCAAGAATTTTGGAAGTTTATGGGGGTGGACAATATGATCCAACACATAGCGGAGATATATATTCTGGAGTGACAATAAACCCTAGTGCTACACTACCATCTACAAGTAATACAGATCCATGGGATATTCGAGAAAAACCAGAAATAATGGTAACAACAACAGAATTGACAATGCCACCATTACCTGTAGAACCTTTAAATACAAATGATACTAATAAACCACCACGTCCATCGTCTCTATGGACAAGAATTGGCCACAAAATTACAACTACTTTTGATAAAGCTAAAGAAAAGGCTAGAAATATTTTTGGATGAACATAACTTTCAATTTTTTTAATTAACATTTATTTATATATAATTTTTAGTAATATAGGTTCTTGATATAAGCTTTTAATATATGTAAGATTTACTAAATAAAATTTATTTATCAGTGTTATAATGTACTATTATTATTGGAATTGTTAATTTAATAATTTCAAGAAGCTGATGTAGTATTATAAAAAATTCACTGTTATAAGGTTATTATATATATTCTATATTATTATTTAAATAAATGAACCTATTTTTTAAATTCTATTTTTTAATGCTTTTATAATTATCGTAAAACTGTTATTTTTAATAATATAAAGATAAGTACTAATGCAGATGCAATGTATTATGTTTACTTACTTCTGGTAGATTTTTAAAAAATCTAACAAAACTCTGTTGACTTGGTGGATCTACAATATATTTTATACATGATTATTTACAAATTAATGGAAAAATAATTTAAGAAATTATACTGTTACACTAACCCATGTTAAATTGTTGATTTGGTTGGACAGCCATGGTTTTATATAGAGCAAGTTATTAGTATTTACGGTTTAAGTAAGAAATAGCTAATAATATAAAATAAATACTGTAGGATTTCGTGAAAATATTTTGGGAAAGATTTTAGTAAAATACTCACTAAACATCTATATTTTAACGTATTCCCGCAAAAAGGAGTAACACCACATACTACCAACCTATAGATTGCACACTGTAGATTATTCAGTTATCATTGCTCTCTAATTTTATTGGTCAACTGAATCTACCAATGTTTGAAGATTTGTATTTGCATCCCATCTTTATGGTTATACAGCTAATGCAATATGTCCGGAGTGATAAATCATTAATTTTGTAATAGTGTAAAAGTTGTGCAATGTATAATGAAAAATTAACTATACGAATTGTTAATTGAATTTTTCGTTTTGTATTTATTTTACATAAAATCAACAGAGTAATTATTAAATCAAGTACATATATAGTTATATATTTCTCAATATTCTACTTCAATTATTTGGTAAGTTATAATTATATATATAATATATGTATACACACACACACGCGCGCGCGCACGCACACACACACACACACATCTACATGAAAAATATACATATGTCGAGTATTTTAAATTTAAATCCTTAAATTCTTGATGAATGCTAAAAGCAGATTATGATTCTATAAATCTTATTGACTGTTCTTTTCATCAATGTACAAGTATATTATTCATTTGATTTTTGAAACAATTAAATTTAATATTTGTCAAAAATATCATTTTATACGTACTTTTTAAAAAAATAATATTAACTCGCATACATGTATATCGAAATTATTAAATTACTTCATAAACTAACATTGTATAATTTGCAATAAAAAATTACCTCGAATAATCATCTGGTTTTGTAAATAAAAGTTAAGAATTTATTAAAGTTTTATGTAGTATTTTATTAGCATTTGATAGTGCCATAGAAAAAAATTATAGTGAATAACTTGATAACCGGCAAAGAACAATTAGTTTAATGAGTAATCGTAATATAAAAAAAACTTAAAAAAGCTTTGATTCTGATAATATCGTTTATTGCCTCGTGTTATCCGAATATGTACATAAAAGATACTTCCACATTTCTTATGCTGGATAACGCGCAATCTAACGAGCAACGATAAATATCAATCATCATACATTTATCCCCACCATACTTATTGCGTATACCATCCTACATACAATTCACTTTGCGAGCTGCTTCATTCGCCAACACATAGTGAATTGCGTGTCTTCATATTTGGAGAAGGACCGACATTCTCGAGGAAAATAATTTATTTTTAGTGATTTATTTGAGAGTTCCATTATTTAATTATTTCCACATTTGAAAAATATAGTTACAACTACTGTTTGTTTGCTCTTTTCGAATTTATATTTGCTAAATTAATGGATAACGTCTAAAGAACGAAACATTTCTTCTTTATAATATATTTTAATTATACAACTAATTGAAGTGAAAATTACTAACAAAAAGAAACGTAAAGAAATGTAAAACATAGATATCACTGTCACGTCCCGCGGCCCGCACGATCCGTAGTGCGAAAGTAAAATTGTAATTTCTTTCAAAGCAAGGTAATTCAAAACGTTTATTTGAAACCGTGTTTACAGTATTTGAGGTGAAAGGCAGTTAACGCCGCTAAAAGCTATATCTTGCGAAAAATTTATCTAACTGTTTTTATATTTACCTAACTATGTTTTTTATAACGATGTCAAGACAGTTTAAAACTGTAAAAAAAGTCGGCAGTTTGAACAAACGTTCAGGATCTTCCCAAACATTTTCAAAAGAACGATCCCGACGTTCTTTTATCTCCGATAGATATAAATAAATGTAGCGACTCATAAAAGTCAATAATAATTAATTACCGTTCTTCAACCGAATAATTATCATTCGTCTACCGGAGGGTTAGTTATCATTTTTTTCTATCGAAGAGTTAGTTATCATTTTGTCTACCAAAGAGTTAATTACCATCTGTTAACTGAAGAGGTTACATCCGTCAGTCTGCCAGTTAGTAATCATCATTTTGTCAACCGAAGAATCATCATTTTTTGTCAATCGAAGAATCATCATTTTGTCAATCGAAGAATTTCCATTTTGTTAACCGAAAAGTTTTACATTCGTCAGTCTGTCAGTCAATTGTCAATATCGAAATCGAGCAAGACTTGAATAAATCGTTACATATTGTTAATTTATTTTCGAACAACTTTAATCCTCTCCCGTGCCAGTATTCCCGCACATAGCAGGTTAGCCGAAAGTGGAACTTATTGCCAGTTGCTTTAAACGCTAGTTAACGTTATCCGTTTCGTATTGTCACGTTCAAGCAAACGCGGCAATTAAATAGAACGTAACAATCACTATTCATAAATTTAGAATAATATTTTCAACGGCTGTCTATAAGAAACTTATTTCGTCTTCATTTTTCATTCTGTACCTAATTCATGAAAGGTAAAGTTTTTAATATATATTCTGTTTAAAAAGTTTTTAGGATTTAAAGTGATAATGGAGAACAGTGCTGACATACTAATGCCGGGTCAACGGATTCGTCCACCAAGCAACAATCAAATAGCAGTGCGGCTCTTGGAAGAACTTTACGGTTTGAAAACATCGAGTATAATCGAATTAAATGGGTATGATGACAGAAACTATCATGTGATTTGTGAAGAATCGTATACGAATTCTCATATTACGACTATCAGTCATCATGGCTATATTTTGAAAATTATCAACTCTTTGGATTCACAGAAAACACATGTGATTGACGCACAAACTGAAATGTTGATATTTCTAAACCATCAAGGTATTAACTGCCCTTTGCCGGTAAAAAATATAAATGGACTATATTATGCTCTGGTCACGTTGAATGTCGATGAATGCACTGACAAGTATGCCGTGAGGCTGTTGGTTTATCAGCCTGGCGAACTGTTGTACCGTATTCCAATTACTGAAGAATTGTTCCGAAACGTAGGCAATTTCACGGCTAAACTTACTAATGCTCTGATAAACTTCGTCCATCCAGCTTTCGTCGGCCACAAGACTTTGTGGATGTTGAATTCTGTGCCAAAGTTACGTCAATTTACTTATGCTCTGAAGAATGTATTTGAAAGGGAGTTGGCGCATCAGGTGATACGAGTCTTCGAGAAGGATGTGCTTCTGGTCACATCGAAGCTCCAGCAGGGTATAATTCATGGCGACTTGAACGAACAAAATTTCGTAATGGATTGCAATGGCAGAGAAATAGCTGCCGTGATCGATTTTGGTGATGCGCACTGGACATGTCTCATTTTCGAGTTAGCTATCGCACTGTGTTACATGATTTTGCAAGCTGGCGACGTGGCGATGGGTAAACACGTCATCGAAGGTTACCAGGAATTTAGGAAGCTGACAGATATCGAGAAGAAGATTTTGAAAGTTACTGTTTGCGCGAGAATTTGTCAGAGTTTGGTTATGGGCGCTTACAGTCATCTTCACGATCCGCAAAACGAATATCTGCTTACTACGCAGAAATCGGGATGGGCTTTGTTGAAGAAACTTTGGCCTCTTCCAGAGGACGAAGTTCTTCGAAACTGGGGCCTGATGAACTGAATTCTATTGTTTAATCTACTGTGACTGTCAATTTGTTGGCCATAATTACTGTGTTCTTTTAAATCTATTGTCAATTATAGAATAAGCAATAAACATAACTTTATATCACAATAAAATATTGAATTCATTAAGAAATGAAGTAAGATATTGTGCAGTGATATATCCTCTGGTTTTATTCGTATTTAGGCAGTTACATATTTACATAGATATAATGAATAATAATGCTCTTCGTATAATAGCGTGGAATCACTTTACATAACTAGATCGTGGTATATACAAAAATTCAGGTATTAGAAATCAATTTATGCGAAATCGAGTGTTATTGGTAGATAATATTAAAGAAACGCATACTTCTCGTGATTAATTGGATCGAATAGCAATTACCGTGGACTTAAATCCTAACTGAATATCCATCGAAATATATCGGCAATGTACAGAATTTATTTATAAATATACTGCAGGACAATATATTTCTATTTTGCATAATACACTTATATCTGCGCTTAAGGTGGTGAAATCATTTTTATTCACGTGTGCTTTCATATTACTTATGTAGCTTGTAATATATATATATAATATAAATATTATATATATTATATATATATTATATAATTATATATATATATTATGTAATATATATATTATATTATATATTACACACACACATATATATATTATATTTTTTATCTCGATTTCAATAATATACTAATTTATTTATATCTCATTTCATTAACATCAGTTCGTTTTGGCAAACTGTCTAGCTGTGTTGAGGCAAATTCGTTGATAGCGAAAATCTGTTCACAATATCGTAGGAATCAAAGTTAAAGTAAACACAAAATTATTTTAAAAAAGGGATAGTATCGAATTGTTTGATACGAGGAACGAATTGAATCATATCTTCGTTAAGAATTTATACGTATCGAATAAAAAAGAATTAAAGAAATTGCAAAAACCAGATTATCGTGATCTAATTACACAAGTAAATGCGACCATCTTTACAATCGAGCGATCGGAGACATAAATGTAAGTTTCTTTTGAGCCGTTTGGATGTAACAGTGGAACGTCATGTTAACGAATTTTCGCCAGAGGTTATTAACAAAATAGTATATTACAGTACCTATATACTTTATTGCTTAGAATCTATTGGCTTATGTACGCCTCGCAAGGCGCTTATAGGCGCATAATAATTCATTTATAACTTATGTCGTTAGTAACTTTTATACTTCATCATTCGTTAACTTAACATCTCCCATTTAATAATTTATATCGTGTATCGTCGAACCTAGAAGTAACGTTGTAATAAATATACTCCTGTGTTAAAACATTAACAAAACGCGTGTAACACACCTCTATTCGGAAGGGTACAGCGGAATGTGTGTGAAGACTCTTTGGGGTGTAAGAAATGGAAATGAATTCCTCGATTCTCGCTAACGTCCGATGAGAATGGTGAACTTTACGAAATTAATATAGAAGAAATATGTAGCATTTTCTCAGTCTTCGATAAAAATGATGATGACGAGAACCGCGCGCGTTTTCGAAACGTTGAACCGAGACAGAGATCGATCGTGCGTTATCGAAGAAATACGAGTACATGTAAAAAAATAAAGCCTCGAAGAATTAATCTTTTTGTGCTACCCTTTACAGTGCAATCGAGATTACTATTTCCGTTCACCCCTCCCCACCCATATGTAACATTTCCATCTAAAATTTGAACAGCTTTATAAAGCTCGTCTTTCGTAACATCAATGATAGACGAATTTTTTGACGACGTACCGTTTCACGACAACGACACGTCACGTCGTGGTAGTTCTTTTCAGGATACTATTATCTTCCCTAGTACTCCGCTTTTATTGAACTTTAACAATATAATTTCTTAACTTTTTGGACGAATGCCGAGATTCCTTCGTTCTTCCGAGGGGTATGAGCGTGCGCAATTAGGAGTCATGCCAAACTACACGTGATACACGTCCGAAAATTATAGCTTTAATTAGCACACAATTAGGAATTAGATTCTTAGTGGGCGCAACAAGAATCTGGTGTTCAGACGCGAACACGATTTGCCCTAGGGCACGGAGAAAGGATGGGGAACATCTATCAGCGGAAGTAAATTTGGTCGATACCGTTTCTTCAATATGTCTTGCATATTTTGCAGCTGTCTGTCTATGTTCGTAGATTCAAATGTAATCTTTCATTCTTACATTCTTTCAGCAGACAAGCGTTTCAGGGAGCGTTTTGACAAACGTTTGCGAAGATTAACCTTCGATTTGTTGCCACGACTGACATTCTCCTCGCGCGCACCTCTCATTACATCAATTTTTACCTAGAGCATTTCTTTTCATATCAACAATTGCTATCGATTATTTGAGTCTAGCGACATGATTGACAGCACTGCTTCTGATAAAGGGGCACCCTGCACATATTCATTGTCTTCACTCTGCTACATAGTTGTGAATGGTCTTTGCAGTCATCTGAAAAAAAAAACAGTAGTTATTTATATTTATTATTATACGATTTATCCATAGGCGAATCCTAGGTTTTTAAGTATATTTTACCAGGTGTTTGAGGACATGGTGGACCTCTACAGGTTTTCATGACAGGAGGCCGTGGAATGTCTCTGCATGCATTACCGGCTGGTTTCTTTGTGCCATACCAAACACACTGTAAGATTCTGTACTTGATACCATCTTCTTCGCATGACGCTGTACACTATGAATAAATAATGAAACCATCAATTCTAAACCATCAATATTATATACATATATGTATATAGGTTATTATACTATTATTATATATTAAACAAATGAATGATAATTAATATTTAATACCTCAGACCACTCTCCAACTCTCCAGACACCTTTGCAGGCGTCATTATAACACTCTTGTCTCTGAAGAGGTCTAGTAGTATCGTCACATTTGTTAGGATCAAGTAATGTAATATTTTGTTGTCCATTTTCCATATCGTTGACCAAACGACAAGTGACATCGCGTCTCTGCATCGCAGTTTTCCAATTAAAGCACCTAGATGTTTCACACGGAGTCCACTCGGTCATGTGCCATTGTGGGCATTTACCAAACCCGCATGGTCTGACTTTTTGAGGCACCGGATGTCCAGCGTCTTCGCATAATGTCGCCCCTATGACTGTTCGAGGTGGTGTACGAGTTGTGTTCCCAATCGGTTTCGCTGCGCGAACTGTACACTGGGCTCCTCGCATCTTGGTGCAAAAAAGAAATTGCAATTTAATGTTTATAATTTATTTCCTGGTTAAGAATCGGCTTTTCCAAGTTACCTGAAATCCACTTCCTCCACAGGTTTGGGAGCACTTTGACCAATCTGTCGTTACCCATTCGAAAACCAGATCCTCTGTAGTATCTGTACATTTTATATATTTGAGATAAAAGCAGTACAATTTGTATACCATTATTTTATTATTTTAGAGAAATAAATTTTATTTACCTAAAATACCAAGAGACGTGATCGTAGAATCGACGGTGGTATTTGGTCCAGCAGAGGTGCTAGTTGCAATATCCAAAGATTTGTTCGTTTTCTGTATTTCTTCACTAGTCGAATGTTCTTGAAAATCCGTCGTATCCTCCGACGAATTGTTACGATCTTCTCGATTCCGTGACAAATTTTTGATATTCTTTTCCATTTCCTCAGATCCCCGATCTTCCGTTAATGCCAGCTCAATCAAATCATCTTCCAAATCTCTCGTTGTTGCTGCTTGAATACCATCGTTAACCGTGTCATTCTCAACGTAGACTTTCCGTTTCTTCATTTCTTCCTCAAAAATGTCCCCGTAATCTGTTGTCTTATTCAAAATTTCTGTCTTCTCGTCGTCAGTGTTTGGCTTTTTTGAAACTAAGTCTGTTTCTTTAAGCGACATCGTAGGAGAAAAACTTTCATCTTCAGAACTGTCATCATTTTTTCGATCGGTCTCTTTATCATGAGATTCCCCGAACTTATGTGTGCTGTGCTTTGAGTCTGGAATATAGTATACCTCCAAACCAATGTTGTCCGAGCGAGTCACCAAGTTTACAGATTCTTTATTTTGATTTTTAGGTGTAGAACTCCAATGATTCTTAACTTCAGATGTATCGTGCCATTGTCTTTTGACGTTTTTTAGAGATTCTTCGATATAATCTATACCAGACTTCGTAGGTGCGACAACTGACTGTTGTGAGTCACCTTTGCTCACAACAGGAGTGATTTTCACTGGATCGCTGTGCCGCAATCCAAACATAGACTCGTCTAAATCATATGGATCAACGTCGATGAATATCCTTTCTTCATCTGGTCCAAAAGTCTCGTCTGGGATAGCGGTATTACGGTATAGGGTGTCCAAGTTGTCTTCCACATCTTGGTATCTCAAACCAGGATTCCTCTCAGGCATAGTACGCTTTGTTGCAACTACTTCTTTTCTTACGTCATCGATGAACGTCACTGGAGCTGTTCTGTGAGCTCTTTCCACAGAGCTCTCACTTTGAAACGGCCAATATTCCTATTGGAATATTCATTACAGATTTTATGTGACACATTAATGTATCTAGAAAACCGTTGAGAACATAACGGCGTGATTTTAAACGAAAAATATAACTTTGTTAGGTAAAAACAAAGAGGATGGTTCCAGAAAGTATACTAATCCTGATTTTACAGTCGCCCACATCGTCTCACCTTTAATGTCGATATAAAGTAAGTTAAGTGCGGCACGAGAGTAGAGGCACTTGAACTGGAGGGTGCAGTCGATTCCACGGATTCGTGGTATCCTGGCTGATATATTAGACCATAAATATCCACCACCATATAAAGTTATTCCATGTATAGGAAGCATAAGGATAAAGAATCATCGACGAGAAATTAATTTATCATGCGGTTATTTATAAATTAGGAAAGTAATATAATATAATAGGTAATAGAAGAGAAGTTCAATTTAACTCTCTTCTCCGAAGTCTTTACCTGGTTCAACGAAGTTACAGTGTGTTCCTTGTGTATCATCGTGGAGTCTGGTGGTGTTGGGCTAGTTTTTTGTTTTTTTTGATGTGGCTTTCTTGTCGGTTTGCTAGGCACCGCTCGTTCATGGCTTAGATCTTCACTGTCGATGGGAACAAATCGGTTTCCATACGCAGCTATTAGAAGATCGATTTAAATTATTCAAAATCTTCAGGATACAATGTACAGGATGGAACTGTTAATTAAAAAATCAGGATGCAAATCGTTATAAATAAATAGTTCGTACCTGCTCGATCAGTGTAGAGACTTTCTCCTGAATTAGCTGGTGCCGAGTCCAAATTAGCGTTTCGTTGTCGATGGACGGAATTGCTCAATCGTAAATATTCTTCGCTGCTGATCTGTTCTTTCGAACGAAATTTTACAATCAGGTGCGTTTCCGCGTGAGAATTTCCCGCTGTAACACAGGAATCAACACGTTATGCTTTGCTTTTTACAATTTTATTGATTCAGCTATTTACCT